ATAAAAAACCCCCACCTTCTCTCTCTGTTACACAGGCTATAGAATCTTGTTCTTTCTCTCCATCTCTATGGTTTTCTCTTTCTATGGTTTCTCTGTAATTACTCTTCCTTAACTCTGTTCCATCCATGGAGGACTTATCCAATGGCCCAAGGAAAAAAAGGCAAAGACTTGCAGACCTGCAAAGCAGTGGCGATGAATCTTTACCTTACACAAGAACGCCCAAAAGAAGTGCTTCTTCGATGGAGAATTCAGAGCCCACCATGACTCCTGCTGCGGGTTCACGAGAGACTTCGGAGACAACTGTGGGTTCTTTATCTGGTTTGGAAGAGAGCACAACTCTAGTTCAGGGTTCTCGCTCTCCATCAGAAGAAGTACGCGAATCCAGGGAGGTTTCAGAAGAGAGGGAAAACCCAATCGCAGTTTCTTTCTCTAGTTCACTGGAGCCATCTCAGCCTGTGGAAGACTCTTGCTTCAGTGAAAAAGAGAGACAAGCACCCATTGTGAATTCTGGAGCCATGTCGTCTTCTCATATGGACCAAGAAAGGGAACATGTACCAATGGAAATTACTCCCCTGAATTCCAATGAAATGGGGGCTTCTTTATCAGGTATGAAACCCGAATTCAAATTGGTTATGGCTTCCTACTCCTATCAAGAAAATAATTCCAAACTCCTTAAACATTTTTGCTCGATATATGTATCATGCTTCCTCAATGTGAATCAGTAGAGGTTTCTCTCTCTCTTATTCATAGAAGTAATCAGAATCAAATGAAGTATTTTCTCTCTGGTTTGGGAATCAAAGGAGAGAAAGCCTCATCCACCGTTATTTCTTTCTTGATGCAGAACATATTGAGGCTTTATCCACTGGTCAAGAAGAGCCCGGTTCAATGGAGAATCCCGACCTCACTAATCAAGAACGACAACATTCACAAGAAAAACCAGAAGAGGCAGAAGCAGGAGGTGGAGAAGTAGAAGAAAGACCACAAGTGGCAGAAGTAGGAGGAGGGAGAGAAGTGGAAGAAGGAGAAGAAGTAGTAAGTGGAGGATCACACCCTCATGCAACAACAGACGACTCAGACATCAAGGTCGTCGTAAAAATAAATGATGAGAGAGATGTGGTCAAACTGACACAAATTGGCATAAATGAGATGGATCGAGCCCATAGAAGGCTTGTGAGTTTTTCCATTACAAATGCAGCAGCACACATGGTTCGCTTTGATGACAGAGGCTCTGGAAACCTCTTCATCTCAGGTGTGGTTCTTCCTTTTAATGGCCGCGTATCAAATCTTAGGTTTTATTGTGAGTCTTTCGGGCCAATTCGTTCGTGGTGTATAACAGGCTTTCGTGAAGGGATCCTGGAAATTTGGGTCTCGACTGATATCGCTGACTACCTTTGTGTAAATGCTGCAATAGAGTACCAGAGGCTCTATAGTATCTTCTATAATAAGGCCATACTCTGCATTAAAGCCGCTCATGAGCTCGTTGAGGACCCCGAATTGGAGATGGACACACTTTCAAATTGTCTCTCCACTTCGCTTCATGGAGGGCTTGGTTGCTTTGGCCATGATACAGTGGTGACTATGGTGAAGCGTCATCTGCCTTTTATAGCTGATCAGCTGGTTGGGCTTGATCGAAGGTTCTCTGATTTTCAGGCAATAGAAACAATCAGTGAGAAGTTTAAGGATCAGGTAAAGAAGTATGAAATGCTTAGGCAAATGAACATGATGGATGGATGGAAATTGTCCGGTTTTTTCTACTCGATCCAAGATTATAACAAGGAGAACCATGGGGAGTGCTCTAAAAGTAGTCATGAAATATCCATGACTAAGGCTTCCTCCCCATCCACTCCTTCCAGTTGTAAAAAGAACGGCTCCCTCGAAACTAATGCGACATATGAGAGGAATCTCGATGTGAATAGGAAGGCACTCATGGATCCTCAGGACATAGTAGGAATACTGGAGTTAGAAGCAATTAGCATGACCCGAACCGGAGATAGTGAGGCCAAGCGATCCCTTCGAACACTTAGGGGATTCGAGATTTTGGATGGGAGAGAAGCTATGCAACAAATTGAAGACTCAGAGTCCGATGAATTCTACATTACCTCTGAGATTTGGCCATTCAATGTAGCCAATTCGAACCAAGTGGTACGATGTGAGATGTTTGGGAAGATCACCTCCTGGTGCATTACAGGTTACAATGAGGGGTACCCTTTTATTTGGGTCTCAACTCGAGTTGCAGATTACCTTTGCGAAGAGCCCAATGAAGGTTACTCGCCTTTCTATAAGGTCTTATACAGAAAGGCAATGCTTTGTGTTCTAGCCTATCACATTCTAAATAACGCACCATATATGCAATTTGATGAGTTTTTGCTAAAACTGGTTTTAGATCTAATGGACTGCTTGGGCACCTTCAAAGATGAAGAAGCCACTCGAAACTATGTAAATTCTCAGATGGGCTTTGTGGCCGAGCAGTTAATTGGACTCGATGCAAGGTTCTTCTCTAAACTGCCAGTCATAAAGATCATTATAGATAAGTTCAATGTGAATATTGGAGAGGCATGTCATTCATTTTTCTCGATCGATGAAAAGAACAAAGGGAGAGAGGGAATGAGAAATCTAGTGATTCATGCAGAAGAGAAGCCTAGGCCAAGAGAGCTCGATGTGAATAGAAGGAAATTTTCCGATTCTTTTTACTCGATCCACGACTGCAATGAAGAGTTTGACAAGGAGGCTTCAAAAGACAATGATGGTGAGACAGTCATGATGGAGGCCACGTCCTCCCAAACTTATTTGGAGAAAGAGAAGCGTCGCCCTCCAAAGAAGCGATCTCTTCATATAAATATTGAGAACCAGAAGAAGAATACAGAAAAAGCAAAGAAGGTGGCCATGGATACTAGGAAAATAAAAAAAGAAATAGAGGTGGGTGATGACGAGTTTGTCGCAGTTAGCATGACTGGGACCACAGATATCAAGACCACTCGGGCCCAAAGAAGACTTGAGGGATTCGAGATGTTGGACGAGGGAGAGGCATTGCAGCCCTTTGAAAATTTGGAATATGAACGACTGTACATCACCTCTGAGATTTGGCCAAGATATAATTTGGAAGAACCCGACCTAGGGGTTCGGTGCAAGTCCTTTGGTCCAGCCGTATCTTTGTGCCTCACAGGTTATAAGGAGGGGGCCCTTGAGATATGGGTGTCGACAGAAATGGCAGACTACCTTTGTCGAAAGCCAAGTGCAGATTACGTGCCTTTCTTTAAGCCTTTTTATGAGAAGGCAATGCTCTGCATCCGGGCCTTTCATATTGTTAGAGCTCATCCTAATTTGGAATTTGATGAGTTCTGTAGGAAACTGGTTTTGGATATATTGCCTCATTTTGACACCTTCAAAGATAAAGAAGCCGCTTGGAACTTTGTAAATTCTCACTTGGGTTTCGTTGCAGAGCAGCTTATTGGACTTGATTGGATATTCTTCTCTTTAAGACCATCAATAAAAAGCATTATAAAAAAGTTCAATGTGGATGAAGTAAAGGCATTGGAAAGAATGCCGTGTGGTTCATTTCTTTCACTCAACTACAAGATTTGGTGGATCAAAAACTGTCAATCAGAATACAAGAAATTGGCAGGGATAATGAAGAAGGCAGAGATTAATATGCCTCTGGGTTGGGCTTCAGGGCCTTTAAAATCTGTGGTGAAGCTATTTCATGGTATGAAGAAGGAAGAGGTGAAAAGAGAAAGGAAAAAGAAGCCATGGTCACAGTTGAAACTGGGTGAGGATTTGGCAAAGGAGGACATGGCTGTTACCAAGCATGTATGCAATATTTGCAGAGATTATCGGTTGAAAAAGATGAGGCAAGAGGACAGCATGAATGTAGAGCATGGTAGACCACGGGAAGGGCCCATGAAAATGGAGATGAGGAAAGAAGAGGCCATGAAAATGGAGAATGGGGGCATGAATCAAGAAGCAGATGTGATTGAAAATGAATTGGTTGCAGGCTACTTGACTGGACCTAAATCCATTGAGAGCAAATTTCGAAGGCTCACGGGGATTCACAATTCTGGATGAGAAAGGAGATATGCATGCCATCGAGGATTTAGAGCCCAGGAAGTTCTATTTTTCCTCTGAGATTAGGCCATTTTCTGCAGCGAATTTGAGCGAGGTGGTTCGACTCAAATTCTGTGGGCCAATCATTAATTGGTGCATTACAGGCTACAATGCAGAGCACCCTTCTATTTGTGTCTCCACAAAAGTTGCAACTTACCTTTGCGATGAGCCTAGCACAGTGTATTCACCCTTATTTAAGCCCTTATACATGAAAGCAGTGCTCTGCATCCATGCCTCGCAGTTTCTCAAGAGAAAACCTTCTGGGAAATTTTGTGAGCTTTTTGAGGAACTGGTTTTAGCTCTAATGGCCCATTTTGAAATCTTCAAGGACAAAAGACAAGCTTGTGCCTTTGCAGATTCTCACTTGGGCTTCATGGCAGAACGGCTAATTGAACATGATATGAGATTCTTCTCCAATTTACGTGCAATAAAAACCATGATAGATGTGTGCATGGTGGATATAAGAAAGGCAGGTACTCCTATGGCGCATTTTCCACATTTGTTGATCTATAGAAAAAACGAATCGCTACATAAATATCGTTCATATTCCTCGGCCAATGAAAAAAAAGAGCAACATCAAAAACATCAATTGGAAGAGAACATAGAGAAAGTCAGGGAAGAGATCACCAAGAAGCCCGAGAGACATGTGAAAGTAAGACAAGAGAAAGCAACCAGAGAAGAAGGCATAGGTGAAGAGACAGGAGCACCAGAAGCCAAGAATATAGATGGGACTATAAGGCAAGGGAAGGACATGGAAATGGAGCATAGTAAACAAGGTAAGGGCATGGACATGGAGCATAGCAAACCAGAGGATGGTCAGGAGATGAATACAGAAGAGAAGGATGGGAGTGGAGCATGATAGAACAAAGCGCCGTCCGGACATAAGGAAAGCAGAGAGCATGGAAGTGGAGCATGATGGCATTGAAGGTGGGTCAGGAGATAAGAAAGAAGAGAAGCATGGAAGTGGAGCATGGTAAACCAAAGTAAATGTTGAAGTGCACATGAAGCTCTCTAGTGAGTCTCTATTTAGGCTTCTATATGGCCCAGGTGATATTCCTCCAGTGTATTGCTTGCAATACATAGTCAGGGGAATGGTGATACTCATCTCTAGTATTGTGTATTGTACACCATACATATGCTTTCCCTAGACAAAGAGAAAGTAGTCTTCTTTAGAGGGAAATCGCCTCTTGTGAAAGGTGTCTTGGGTGCATATGTGTACCATATGGAGATTTAATAACTTGCTACCTTGAATACATTCTTGATTTTAGTACAAGATTATAGTTTCTAAATGAGTTTTAGCTTGGTGTTTTTTTTCCCTTTTTTTTTATTTCGAATGAGTTTTAGCTTGGTAGCTTTTCTCATTGACCAAAAGTAGAACAAATCACCTTTTAGTATAGGGAAATAAGTACAGGGGAACAAAATGCATTTCTAGTGCTAGAAAGCTTGAAAAATCATCTCGACATCAGCAATTACGGATATGAAAAAAATATTTCAAATGTTATAAATATTTTATCTTGTAAAACATTTTTTGGATATCTATTTTAAATATTCAAAGATCAGTTAGATCTGCACATTTTGAAGCTTCAAATTCCATGGTTAGGAAAATAAATCAATTTCAAAAGTAGGTGGCAATAACAGCTTGTGACAATTTTTTAAGCTTCACCTATATTGGGCATATTGGGCTTTTGCTCTAAGAAATTGAACTAGCATAGATTAATAGGAATCAGGCTTGGGCTTGAATGGTTACCATTTGATGTAAACAACGCTATTGTCAAGTTCAATTCCTACACCTGAACCACCCAAGTTCAATTCCTACACCTGAACCACCCAAAGGAAAAATAAGAGAAAAGGTTAAGAGAAAAATTTGTATACCTGTCTCTCAAATCACAATCCTAAATAAACCCCCTAGTCTCCAAGTTCAAAAAAAAAATTAAAAATTAAAAAGCAAAAAAAAAAATCAAAAAAGATGTTTTTCATTTTTGTTATTGTCATAAGGAAAATTGTTTCATGCGGACTAGATCACATTTCTACATATGCGGTCCAGAAGTGTAAAGCATCCATCTTAAAGATAGATGCAAGTAGCCGGTCCATCTAAAAACAATGGAAACTAACGGTCCAAATGTTTTCTTGATAAAAATAATTTATTTTTTTATATTTATGATCTCCATGTAAGAGACTATATGTCCTTAAAAATTAAGTCCAAAAATCCATCTAAAAAATAGATTTTTAATAGGCATCGCATTTCTACATGTGCGGGCTTGGGCCGCATGCGAACCACGTCTTTGTCCTAATCACAATATGTATCTTTTTTATCTTTTCTAGTGACCCATTCATCAAAATCTTAGAAAAGTTTCCCCTTCCTTTCTCTCGGTTTCTCACTTGTGAACCTCTTGCTCCCTATTTCTCTCACAACCTACCTTGAACCTTCATATTTCTCTCTAATTGGTGAAGTCCCTCTTTCTCTTGCAACCTCCCTTGAACCCTCATATCTCTCTGTCATTTGGTGAACCTCACCAATAGGTTAAAAGAGGCATCTTAATCTCATTTATTTAATGTATTATTAGAAGCAAAAAGAATAAAAAAAGGTAAATGATGTAATTTTGACAATGAAAAATGTAAAGAGATGGTTAAATGTCTTTTTCTTTTAACTTACATAGGGTTTAAAGGCGTCTTATGGATCTAGGGGGTTTAAGATTTTAGAAAAAAGGTTATACATCCTCTTCCAAAAGTTAAATACTAGACATTGCTATGCATGTAGTGCATGGTAGTACAATGGCTATCCGCCGTTCATATGCAATAATGGATGGTGGAGACGATTGACATTCATGTGTGATTTAGGGATGGGAGAAGGCAAATAAGGAACCCAGAAAAATGAAAGGAAAAAATAAATGTTGAAACATTACACTCTCTTTAAAGGTCTACAAGAAAGTCTAGCTCATAAGATCTTTCCATAAAATCCCAAAATACATCCACCTTCTCTTTCTCTGCCTCCCTCTCTCTTTTAGGTCTAATAGTTGTATGTTTATAAAAGAAATGGGAAAATGTCTCTCTCCATTTCTTTTATCCCCTCCCTCTATTTGACCATCTCTCTCTCTCTTTTCTCTCTCTAAAGCAACCACTATGGGCTTGTAGACTTTCCCATTTCATTTTTAGATTCTCGAAGATGACAATAAAAGTGGTATATATATTATTAATTTATTATTATTGTTGTTGTTGTTATTATTATTATTATTATTATTATTATTATTATTATTATTATTATTATTATTATTATTATTGTTATAAAATCTCAGTAGGGCTACATCAGGGTCAGTGTTGAGCCCATATTTCATTGTTTTGGTTATGAACGAATTAACTAGGTACCTACAAGATGAAATACTGAAGTGCATGCTATTCGTAGTTGACATGGTTTTCATGTAACTAGAGGACGTATCAACTCAAAATTATAACTTTAGAGGGATGCTCTAGAATCTAAATATCTTAAATTACCAGGCCTAAGACATAATATATGGAATACAAGTTTAATAATAATAATATGAGTAGAAACAAAGTAATAATAATATGAGTAGAAACAAAATACTGAAAATTGATGGCAAAAAAAATACTTAAAAGAGGTTATTTTTTATATCTTCGATCAATAGTCCAAGAGAATGAAAAGATTGAGGAAGATGCCACATATAGAATAAAGCCGATTGGAAGAAGTAGAGATGTACATCTGGAGTTTTATGTGACTGCTACATACCAATAAAACTAAAGAGGAAGTTTTATAGGTTAGCTGTAAGACCTGTCATGCTTTATGAGACAGAATGTTAAAGGGGTCAATAAACAACATATCCATAGGATGAGCGTAATATGACAAAAATGTTGAGATGGATGAGTAGCAAGACAAGAAATGATAAAATCCAAAATGAATACATTTGAAAGAATTTAGATGTGGCTTCAATATGCGATGAGATAAGGGAAAATAGACTTAGATAGCTAGTGATGTGCAACATAGACCTAATACAATATCGATTAGGAAGTGAGATTTAGTTTAAGCTGAAGGCTTTGAAAGGGCAAGATGATGGCCAAAAAAAGATATGCATGGAACATGAAAGTATAGCCCTTGATAGAGCAAAATGACAAAACAAGATTGATGTAGCCAACTTAGAAAACGTTATATGCATTTCACGCATATTTCAACATTTGCATCCCCCAAGGCATAAACTATCCATCCAAATATGGATATAGATGATGGTCCCTAAAAAACAAAAAAAAGAGTGTAGAATCAACGGCATGAATATTTATTTTAAAAAATAATTTTTATTTTTATTTTTTATTTTTATTTTACATATGAATGATCTCTATATTAGAAATTAATATTCCTTAAAAATTAGGGTCAAAATATATTTAAAAAATAATGTCTCGAGAATGAATATAGACCATCTGCATTTTAAATGTTCTAACTGTTAGAAAACTTGAATTTCAAAATGTTTCTTTTAAGAATAATATCTAGTGATTCTTAAGTGGTTCCTAAAATCCCCTCCCAATTAGATCTTAATTAAACTATGCTACATATAAGTGCTCGAAAAAAATTAACATACCATATACATTCCCAAAAAAGGCGGAACTTAAAGGGTGAAATATAAAAGGGTGAGGTTTCTATAAGGATGCAACCTTAAACAATCCAATTAAGGCGCATCTTAAAATTTTATCATATAACATGTAAGTTTGTTATAAAAAATTCTTAGTATTATCTTAAAATCTATTTTCATAGCTAATTAGAAAATTTTGAATTCCAAAAATGGTTAAAATCAAGTAGATCTATAAATAAATGAAAATCTTGAAAATAGACGGTTTAGATAATGTGTTGCAAGATGCACTATTTATGGGACTCAAAAACTTTTTTTTTTTCATATTCATAGGTCTCAATGTCGAGAAGATCGATTAGAGGGTTTATTCAACATTAAAACAACATTTCCGTTAGTGCATATGTGATTATACATTTTAAGGTTGCAACCTTATTTAAACTTTTCCCAATATAAAATGCATGATTTTTTTTTGAAAAATTGATAGTAGAAAGGATTTTTTTAAATCAAAATGCACTTACTACCAATGGACAGTATATCCCCGCGGGAGTATAAAATGTTGTGGCATAATTAATTTGGCTTACGACCTTATCATTTCAAAACCAAGCAAAAATTGAAAAATCGGTAAAACCGTTATTTGAACAACAGTTGAGTCAGTTCCTTGTCTGAGGTAACGAACCCAACCCTGCTTCCTTCCTTTTTCAAATAAATGCAAACCCCCGCCAACTCTCTCTCTCTCTCTCTCTCTCTCTCTCTCTCTCTCT